CCATTAGAGCATGGAAGTTCAGTGAATTTTTCAGTCCACCTTGCGGACTGACCACTTACCTGGCCTGCAGCTCATCAGCTTGTCTATGATAATGTTACGGGTGTCAAAATTCTTACTGAAGTCGAGGTAAACAGCATCCACTGATCTCCCCTCATCAAGCAAGCTCATCTCATCATAGAAGGCTAGCGCATTGGTTAAGCATGAATCCATGCTGATTCCTTCATAAATCCATGCTGACTACTCCCAATCACCTTCCTTTCCTTAATGTGTCTGGAAATAGTATCCAGGATTAGTTGCTCCATCACCTTCTCAGGCATCAAGGTGAGGCTGACTGGCCTATAGTTTCCCAGATTATCTTCCTTGCCAATGAAAATAGGAGTGACATTTACTCTGTTCCAGTCTTCAGAAAGGATATCATTGTCCATGCCTATCTTAGGGAGTTCCTTTTGCTCCTCAGGGCCCCTCCTGAGCTAAAAATCTTAAGCGCTTCTATGAGCAGGGTAACTGTCAGAACATTGTCCTTTGGCTCTGTTACCACAGTATTGTGTGAGTTTAGAAAACTCCTGTAGGGTGGTCCTGTGATATGGCACATTCTGTCTTTTCTCAGAGACACTAGTGATGAACAAACCTGATTTCAGGAGGGGAGTGTGTGTGGGCACTCTGAGAAACTGCCTTTAAACTAACTTCTTAGAATGGAAAGATGTTCTTTGTGCCTGTGGAGTTTTTCTTCTGTTCATTGGAGACTCATTTTCTTTAAGTCAAAATGATTCAGCTTGTAGCTTTGTGGCTGGTTTAAATTCATGGGATGCTTTCCTCTAGCTTGCTGCTTTTTACTTAGGAAAGACAGGGATCAGCTGTTTGAACTTCAGCAGTTGAAGGCTGTGCCTCTGCCTTCCACAGAGAAAGGGGGGTACTTGTGCAGCCCATATTGTGAGGGTGCCAGATGGCAGCGGCTGGTAATGCAGGAGGCTGTTTGATCACTGCTACTGTGTGTGATTGAGAAAGGGGAAGCATGAGCCACTGCTGTTGCTGAGCACTCGGGTAGGAAAGAGTTCCAAAACTCAAACGTGGCTTGTGGTCTGCCAGAGTTTGGCAACCCTGGTGTTGAGTGATTGATAAAAGGATGTCCTCAACAAGCAAGCAGGATAAAATCAGTTCTATGCTCCAGTGGGTGCTGTTTATTTAAAAAATCTGCATATGAGGTGACGCTACCCTAGGGTATTTTATCTTATGAGAGTACGGAATAGTCTTGCAAATAATTTCAGTAAGTTCAAGGAATACAAGCATGCCATTAATACAAAACAATATCAATATATTGAACAAATATAGAGTATTCTGACAGCTGCTCCTTTAGTACTGGAGGCGAAGGAAAATATCGCTGCTTTTGTTCAGAGATCTTCATTTGATTCTTACAGAGTTTTTCGTAATAAGGATTCTGATGTTAAAATAACTGCTTGTCACTTGCAGCAGCCATGCCTGTGTGTGCCTGTGCTTGTCTTGAAATCGTTGTAGGGATACCGCAGTCTTTGTGCTGCTGAGCAGAAATCCCCCACTTTTATTGGGTGCACCCACATCTGGAGATGTCTACAACACATGTTAGAGAAATAGAGATAGTGGAGACAAATAATCTGTATTCTTCTGTTTCTTACTAGTCCATACTGTGTAAATTAACTGTTGAGATAGGAAATCTTTCTTCCCTTCATAGCAATATTCTTTCTGTAGTTATCTGTTTTTAGTTCAGTCATTACGCATAAGGACAATGAATATCTTCTCAATTATTTCTTAAGGAAGCCACACCACAGTTTTCCTCTATCATTGTGAAATAATGTTTTTAGCGTATGACACAATTCTGATTCACAAAGTTATGAGTTATGTTTCTTTAAATAAATGTATATTGTATTTTGGAAGTAGTTGAAACTTGCCTGGAGGGCAGTGGAAGCTGGTGGTGCTTGCATAAAGAGGTCCTGACTCCCCAGATGGGTGCTTGGCAGACTTGGTTGACCTACTTTAGCTCTGACCTTGATTTGCTCAGAGGTGTTTATGTACTCATGATCAGCTTTGCTGCATGATTAAGCTAGTCATGTGACATCTAACAGTTTTTTGTTTTTTAACAGATGAACAAAAAGATATGTGTTTACTGTCTCGTTAGCCTCGTTACAGGAGGTTAGAGAAAGATTGAACGCAAGGGAGGGGAATCCTGAAGGAAGTAGTCCAAAACAGGCTGTGGAGAGACAGTGTCTGATATGACACAGTGACAAAATATCATTTGATCCTTACCTACAGGGGTATTTAATCAGGAAGTGACCTACATGGCCTTTTTTCAAGTAGGTTCTTGAAGTACCTCGGCAACAGGCTTGGGGTCATAACTGGAAGATTGGGGCTTTGCTTGTATCTATGGGTGTTTTTTTCTGTGTTGCTTTTTGTAGAGGTTTTTTTGAGCCATTGAACACCTAGCAGCTTCAGGCTGAAAAGCTATTGAAGTATTCCCTTTTCCAGAATGTTAAGAAAGCCTAATAATAAAACACATTTCACTGAACTTATTATAGTGGGGCAGTTTTGCAGCTTATTCTAGTGGGGCATGCTGATCTTCCTCTAATCATTGGGTTGCCATTTTTTAATATTAAACCTCATTTCAAGAGACATACATGATTCTTAATTCCCATAAAGCTGAAATGTAGGACTGTGGTTGTTAGAACTGAGATGAGCATTTGGGACATTGTGGAGAAGGGACTGACTTGAAAAGAAATTGAGAATTCTGTTTTTTTTTTTTAAATGCAGTTTTGCTCTGTTTAAATGGTTAAGGCACTTAAAATAGCTGCTTTAAAACTATCAAGTATATTCTCCTGTTATTTATGCAATTTAAAATAGTGGCACAGTTGAATGGATACTTAAGTTATGGAATTCTTCTGTGAAACTCCTTTTTAAACTTAGGTTTTGAGATGAACAACAAAGCAGCTTTTTACATGAAAGCATACCGATGATTTGTGTGGGTTTTTTGCCTCCCCCCCCCTTTTTTTTTTCTTCCCATCCTTTTCCTTCTAAAATCATAGGTATTCTTAAAAAGACTATGTCAAACTTAGGAAAACTTTTATTTTATTCCAGTGAGTCCCAACCTTATCTGTGAGGTCCATAAAAATACCTGAAGCAGTAAAATTTGAGATCAACAAGTCCTCAGATAGTGATGTATACTAGTGTTCAGGAGCTTTGGAAAGTTAATGGTGGATGACTGGGCCAGAAATTTTAGAAACTGCTCATTTCCAGAGTATGCATTATACAGTGCCCAGGGTTTTGTGCTAGATTCTAGAATTGAATTGTGGGTGCACAATACTTAGCATAGAAAAATATCACTGTAGGCAGTTAGGTGTGATAGTACTTTATCACTAGATGTATAGGGCTTAGGCACAAGCCAGTCTAAGTTTAGCTGTAACTAAATATTGTGTATCAGTTGAGGTTGAAGATAATGTTCTCTTGCATCTGATAGATGGACCAAGAGCAGAGAAATGGTCAGTGACTGTGGTTTAGTTGCTGCGTTATAAATTAAGCTATGGTAATCTCATAGACCTCAGTAACCTGATCATATGACTAGATTTGTAGTTGTGCTGCTTTGGGTAAGAGAGATAAAATAGACAACTAGGGAAGGGCTGAAGTAAGAAAAAAAATAAGGCCTGATCGACAAGTAACTCTATTAGCATGCATGAAGGCTGCCTTCTGAAAATCAGTTATGGTTCTGGATTCAATGAGAAGTCATAATTTGATTTAAATTTCAATTGATTTAATTTTGTCAGTGACCTGGTGCCAAATGGCCTCTTAACTTGCTGTTACCAGTATGTCCACGCATTCAGAAATACTAAACTTTTTTTTTTTTTGGTTGCTGAGAAGAGACCACAAAAAAGTCTGATGAATGATGAGATGGATGATGAACCCCTCAGAAGTAGCTTGGAAGCTCTGCTTCCTCTGTTCACAAGTTGAAAAAACATGAAGAAAACGATACCCTTGACTTCAGATTTTTGGGGGTTTCTGTTAATTTATAAGTTTTTAACATGTCTTTATACATGATACAGTAGAATCATTTGCAACGTGCTCACATTGACAGAATGCTAGTTAGACTTAAGAGCATCTGAAAGCATGTGCTGCTGCTCTGTGTATGTGGTGGTGCATTCTGCTCTCATCACAGGTTGAGAAGGCAGTAGGAACGCTTGCAGGTGTATAAACCACAAAACAGTGTATTCAGATACTTTAAAAATTTTAACCTTTGCTGGAGGTAGACTGTTAGCACTGTTTTAAGGTTGTAGTCTCACACAGTAGGTTTTGCTGAAAAAAAGTTTCATGATGGAAACCTGGAAGTGAGGGGCATCCATTTGCAGGCTAGCCGCTAAGCTTACAGTGTAGTTGGGAGACAGCCTGGGGCTTGAGTTACAGTATGGTGTGTGGATTTATTTTAAAACTTGAAGCCTGCAGAGTAGAACAATAATTTTAACCATCTTTCCTTTGAAAATACCAACTGCTATTACAATGTAAAATAAAACAGTAAACCCAGCCCAAATCATCTTACTGCTATGGTCAGCTTGAAAGTGAAGCAGGCAGGGAACGAAGGGATCAGTCTATCTTTCACATTGTGCGGTGATTCAACTCATTCTGGTAGCATCTGACAACAAATGTATTCAGACCTGATCACTGTTGTGCGTGGAGGGTTACTTGACTAGCTGAAAAGACCAAGCAGTGATAAACAGGTCCCAAAGGGAATTGATGTTACGGATTCCCCTTCTGTTCCAAAGGTGGGTCCTTTGAAGATGCATATCTAATCATCTAACTTCATTGATAATGGATAGAGCTTCTATACTTTATTAAAGAAAATTAAAATTTGACTCTTGAGTAGAAAACAAAAAAAATTTTTTTTTTGAAGCATCTATTTGCTATTGTAAACTTTGTCTAAAACAGTTGTTCTAGACAAACTTATCTCAAAAGTGATTTTCATGATAGCTGATTTTCTTCCTGTTCAGGTTCTTGGAAGTACTTGACTAACAAATTACGAGGTGTGAAGATGTTTTA